CRWMWAATASATCACCATRGCGATGARTCCGWGGAATTCCWRATAAGCAACGTASARGTACGAAGTWCTGTTCAGSRGAATATKMATTCGARGATAAAACAATYCAATTGGCTCCAGAGGCAGGGATATATTCACAGCGAGGCCGAGATAGCSAAAGCRTAYRKAGTRGCAATYAAGTGYYTGAAAGCTMAMTGSKYSCCGAACAAAATMGGCCYAGAWAARGTTTCAATTTGGTCTCGACCATTGGACAAAARMGACATTACTTAGGCAAATCATCTRTTGTGTCACGRCAGCACYATRSTAGTAKAGAAGCTGAATGAATCGACYTCGTCAGAAGGGCCCTTTTCTTAGYATGTTCAAGAATGGKCATAATGAAGATACTTGATACAAGTGGTACCGTTTGRSRGAAGTWMWTRCTGCATGGCAAGTGCTCTAATTAGTCATGMTACGCTATCTACTGTGCGATACTACGAGGTTCACGAYAATTAGTGAACTTATYTACTCATCATCTACTCGTGATTTTGTTTTAGCCTCACTGTCCTATTGCAACACAAAATTTCTTCTACTTATCATGTATAGGATCGACAATACAGTAACACTGCGTTCAGCGCCAATGCAAATTAGAGTCACCTARCTCTACATAAAATGATCTTTTCAGGGCTGATCCCGGGTGATTTGCAACTTGAAGGTACTAAAGTTTTCCATACAGCACAAGAACCTCAGCCACAAAGAAAAACGCAGGGATCGTTCGATTCTAGCATAACAGGCAATAGTCGTAAACGAGAGTATTTTGCCCATAACATATATGGCCTCCTAGACGTCGTGGAACGAGAGGGCCTCCAAAGTATTCTTTCGTGGATGCCACATGGTTTGTCCTTCAGGACTAACAATCACACTAAGTTCGTGGAGTACATCATGCGAAGAATTCTTTCTGGAATGCATTTATACAAGTCCTTCCGAAGTTAGTTGAATCTATACGAATTGTACCAAAGGAGGAACAGTCTGGATAGAAACKGTGAGTTCAGCATGTATTTGCACAGAGGTGATTTTCTAGGAATGATCGTGGCGCTSTGCTGAGTGCGGGGATTGGCCGTTGCTTCGTCTCGTCCGGTGCGTTCGACTTAAATGGCATYTGCATCCTTTTTGATCTGTTCAAATCCTTCYTTCTAGGCTCTTAGAATCAGCGACGAAGGAATTGGGTSGTTGCGTCACACGCCCGTTTGTGTTGCWCTTCCAGGGGCARTKTCTKTCTTCTTCTGCTTCGTTTCGTTCCACCACCACTGCTGCTGTCCTCGTCGTCACCAAATGGATACGAGGCTTTGTAACTGCTAAACCCTTCGTGGGTCCCACCGGMAATTTCTACCGTTTTGAGACGGGGTGGGAAACAAGCCTCCAGCTCGTTCTGTCGGTATCTCATCAAGTTAACGAATACGTCCTTTGATCCCTGGACGATCAGGACCTCCGATTCTGTGTGGTCGGATAGGTCGGTTGCAGCACCCGGGAAGGCCGCGACGCCCCACATTACTAACTTGTTGGAAAGGACGACATCGATCCCGAAGATTTYTGACGACCCGTTTTGGTCCGTRTCCTTTTTCCCGGGGCAGCGGCGTAACTTTGATACAATTGTTCGCGTGCCGTTGCTATTTCCATTWTTGCGTTCCCCGGCATCRAAGAATTCGTCGAGCAATTTCATAGCGGCAAAGGATCCCATCGAGTGCCCCATCAAGGTCCATTCCATAGTATTGCAAACCGGGAATTCTGCAACCGCAGTTTTAGAAGGTTCGTCACTCTCGGCATCCCTCCGACATCCCGTTGTTGCAGTGTGCATGCGAATGTGTTGGGAGATTCGTTCAATGATTTGTGTTACGGATGCCTTGTCTGCTCCCAAATGATACTGGGCAAGGCGCAATGGTTCCATCGATGCGACTGCTACCAAGAAACCATTGTCGGAAAGCCGAGCGGCAACTTCGGAATACGCCTCGTGCGAAACCAAAGCYCCGGGGAGAAACAGCAAGGCTTGGAGTTTACTGCTATTCTCATTGTTCTTATCAAAGTCGGTGTCTCTTTTGCTTCGATCCGCTTTGCATTTTGTTATCAAAGAAGGTGGTAGGTAGACATCGAAGCGCCGCGTCCGGTAGGCCCTGTGATTCCGGATTCGCTCCGAWAGGACATTGATCGCCCTTGTCAACGTTGGAGATCGATTTTTCAGTGTTGTTCGAAGGTACAATAGCAGTGTTGAGAGTTGTTCGACTAGTTCGTAAATGCACCGGAGACTCCAGGGAGAAACCAATGATGCAAAGACCAGTCGTCCCAGTATCMGTTTTGGGATCGACAAGCCTCGGTGCCGAAGGAAAGTTAAGCGAGTCAAGTCTATTGCCCAAAGAATCAACACKGGTAGCAGCAAAGCAACAACATTTTGAACGACCGTTGAGATGTCAAACGGGGAGAGTGAATTGCTGTCCAAGCCAACCATTACACCCCACCATGTTCTCGGCGAAAGGAGCCGGAGTCGGTCGAAGAGTTTGGTCGG